GGAGTTGAACTTTTTTCTTATGAAAACGAATTCTCTTGTTCCATTAAATTTAACTTGATGCTGGCCACGTGAGTAAAAACGCTCTATAAGGCGGTTGTACTACCTCGTTTCTACGGTGTCAGAACACTTCTATCGCAAGTCGCTGATTATGTCAAGCTGGACCTTCTTTACGGTCGTGTTCTGCGGTTTATTTTAAGAACTGGAATTCTGACGATGCCTCTTTACTAAAATTCCAGAGTATCTCAAAATTAAATTCAGCGAAGGACAAACACCCAAGTTAAGGAAACGTTTCGGCGAGAATTGCTAAGCATTGAGAACAGGATTTTAAAATAATATTTGCTTTTCATGGATGTGAAACCTGCAAACCTGAAAATAGTTGACCTTCATAGTTGGTTCATGGACGGTTACACTAATTTATAACTCTTAATCAAAGCAGCTCCAAGAGAACGCCAAATACGGTAACACTTTGTATGAATTTTCTCTTTAAAAGGTTCAGAAGTCCAACACCGAAGAGGCAATTTCGGAGGGACAATTTCGATTATGGGCGTACAGCAAAATGGGCATTCAAATAAAAATTTGAAAAAGGTATTCTTTGTGAAAGAAAAAAAAAAACATTTTAATGCTAACTTTCCTAAAAAAAAAATCAGTGGTAACTTTCATAATTGCCGAAAACAAAGGTTTGGATAAAACTTTATACCAAAGAAGATGTTAATGTTGACTGAACGTCAGTGTTAAGTCACAAGAGAATTCAATACGGCGAAAGTTTGTAAATACCCAGTACAAACAATCATTAAAAAAGCTGGGATATACAAATCATGTTGTTTAATTAAACAAAGAGTTCCGCACCAGTGCAGGGAGTTTATAGTCTGCGCGTGTTAAAATTAGGATTAGGTTTTGGTTAAGTCCTCTTTCATATTGAAAATTAGAGTCGATATTCTCCTGGCACGTTAGTAACTTATGTGCGAAGTTGGCCCCTTCGGGAGAGTTAATGCCAGCATGGGCTTATCTCAACTGGGAAGTACTTGTCAAACGCCCAAATCTTTCGTTCCACAATGAGCTCAACAAGATGTCGGACTGTGTAGCCAACAGAAAAAAAACACAAGAAACAGGTATAAATTGCCTTGTTTATTCTGAGATATAGGATTCCTTTCTTTATTCTCGAAATCTTGTTCCATTTTTTTGCTGGCAGATAGTTGTTGAATGAACTCCTGTACCTTTTAACTGTCTTGGCAAATGTTTGGTAGCCGAGAGGGAAGCTTATCCGCATAACACAATAACTTCAGTATTTACTTTACCATTATCAGCAAACACTTCGAATGCAATTTTAAAATCTTCACATGATATATTCGTTCGAAATACTTCGCTATAGGAAACATAGATACGATAAAATTCCCAATAAGAATACCTTATCTTACTTTCATGGTGTATTACTTGCTGTCTATCCCCTCACTTTCCCTCCTCAAGGCGATTTTGGCGCACCTTAAATCGAAAAGAAAGGGCACACACAGCAAATATTACACCATGCAAGCTTGGGCTGCCTGTGGTTTAACAAGCCACCTGGTGAGCGCTGGGTGCCAAAAATAAAAACAGACCAGAGTACAGGCGGAACCCTTTAGATGTTTAAAAACAAATGCAAATCACAGGCTGAAATCGCAGGTTCAAACATTTCTTAAGCAAAACCTGGTTGAAGGCATCCAGATCAAGTTCCTCAAATCATGTTAAAGAGCCTTTTATGTGGTTGTAAGCTATTTCAGTAGTGGAAACAAAGGCTGGGCTGGCGCTGTAGCCTCTGTGTTCTGGTGAGTACTGGGTACCAGATATAAAACAGTCCAGAGTACAGGCAGAAACCTTCAGGCCTAGTTGTTCAAAAGGTAAATAGCGCTATCCGATGGATAAATCTCTACCAGTGTATAACGCAATTGGTTTCCTTAATACTTATCCGCTGAATAGTGATTTATCCGGTGGACAGCGCTATCCAACGTTTGAACAACCGAGGCCAGGGTCCAGTTGTTCGAACTCCGGTTAGCGTTGACCCGGGGTTAAATTTAAACCCGGTTTTCTTTTTCTTTTTATCAAAAGCATTCTCTCGGATAATTTTCTCTATTCTTTTTAAAATATCCAATCATCAAATTGAAGGCAAAGAAAATTAAACTGAATTTGATTTTTAAGCTCTCATATCTGAGTTTAAATTTCACACTAACCCTAGGTTATCTTACTTCGCCCGTTTTCAAACATCAGAGCCGGGTAATCCGACGCAATGTACTCGCGCCTGCGCGTGTGGAAATGTGGGCTTGTCTCATCAACGTAGGGAGAAATTAAACTTATAACCTACACGCGCGCGTAGCCCCTCACAGAAAAGCCCTAGGGTTTTCCACGTTAAAGAAAAATTTAAAATGCAAACCGTTAATAGGGTACTGGTGACATTCTGGCACTCTAACTGAGAAATCTTAATTTTTTAACATTTTCTATATAATACTGAAAGAAAATTGAAATATACAGGTTACATAATTCTCACCTGCTTTATAGTTTTAACAGCTGATCAACTTGTTTGGTTTATTTTTTCAACCTGTCATTGAAATTTACATCTCCCGGACTGAGTTCGTCTTCATATTGTTCGGAGCAAAAACGAGGCAGATTGAAGGAAATGGTTGTAAGTTGTAGACTTCTAAGGCTTTGTTCAAAACCTGTGTGATTCACTGCTGTTGATAGTTGGAGTCTGTCAAAGTCATTGTCGTTTTACTTCGACTAACGAGGGTGTTGAATTTGAAAAAGTGTCCATGTTTATAGTTTAAGTCCAGATAAATTACCGGCTGAAATCGCAGGTTCAAACATTTCTTAAGCATAGAAAAAAACCTGGTTGAAGGCATCCAGGTCAAGATTCTCGTCAAAGCATGTTGAAGAAATTTTTAAGTGGATGTTTCGATGACTCGCGGAAGTTTCAAACTTTTAATAGTAAACAAATGGAGGGAGCTGCGTGACACAAGTAATATATACACTGAGTCTCAATGAACATTGAAGATAAGGGCATAACCAAAGAATATACTAGGTAAATCCCCTCATTGCCAAGCTGGAGTGTCCTCGCGTGGGTACCAACCATTCTTCATCCATTTTTTATCATAATTTATTTAGAGAGTGACTCTAAGAGAGAACAGATCAAAGCGCAAGGGCTTTGAAAAATGGAATAGCTGTTGTGAATACAAAACATAGCATATATGTCCTAATAAACGGCCGGGACGTCTATTTAATTTAAGGGGTCCAAGCAGGGACTTTTAGTAGATAGAAGGCGTTTGAAAGAGAGAGGCGTTTATTTCCATAACCGTATCAAGCTCGATTAAACTAATATGCTTTCGGCGAAAATATCAAGCGAGTTTAAAAACTGCGGGATATCCACTCTGACCATCAATTGATACGTCTAGGCACACACACTTGAATAGTAAATTCCCTTGGGGCTTTTTAGTCACTATTTACACTATTTACAAGATAAAAACTAAAGAATAAAGGAAATATATTACATTGAAATTATTGTTTAGAAATTAAATAGTTCTTCATTAAGTTTTTAAAACGTTTTAACGAGGAGCAGGCTCTTAAATTGTCATAAGTTGTTTCAGATGTTCTATATCCAGGGACCGCGGAGCAAGGTGAAAAGTGGGAGGGCTGACAAATTGAAAATACTTTTTCAATAAACGACCAACATACACGGTCAGTTCAGATTCAATGCAAGAAAAGACGCGATTACAATTTTAGTATAGAAAATACTACACTGAAGTGATCTCAAAAATTTCTAACTATGGCCGTTTAGTGTTCACCGTTCAAGTAATGTAATTCTTCTTGCCATCGAATATTTCATTGATTCGAAAGGAGAAAGACAAAATATAAAACTTTTATCAACTCAAAACAACTACTCAGCTTCGTTTGGCCTGAAAAAGCTAGTAATTTTCTTTATTTCGTCTGATAAATCTGACCAAAAAAAAACTCTGCCGGAGCTGGAAGTACAAAACACGCTGCCGAACGAAGCGAAGGGGTGGCCAAGGCATGGCGTTTGATCAAGGGGCAAGTCGGCCCCAGGGCACAATTACCGCGAAAAGCACAGGAGCCCCACAAAATGCCTGGCGTTTGAAATTAAAGAAAATACAGAGAATATAGCGGAATATAGACGGAAAAAAACTTGTACTATTATTATTTTTCTTTTTAGCGCTAGAAGTGGGGGCGGGGGCGCAAAAAAGTGGTGGGGCCGCGGCCCTACCAGCCCCTCCCCCTCCGCGGTCCCTGATATCGCTCTTTCAAATCCCAACATCGATGTCAGAATCCTCGCTCACAGTTATTGTGTTGCTATCGTTAGTAGAGAAATGACGAGTCACGTTTACCACAAACGGCAAACGTCAGACTCAAGTTGAGAATTTCTCAGCTCAGAAAATAAGCAGATAAAACAGTCCCGAACGATTCCTATGGCTAAAAGTGGCATAAAACTACTTATTTTTGTGCAAAAGCGATAACGAGTAAACGAAAAATAAGGGGAAACCTTGGTCACGTGGTACAAATTCACGTCTTCCGTTTGGCTTAAACGTGAATCTTAATCTCTCTAGTATTTGCTTACTTTGAACTTGACGCTTAGAAAGATGAAATACGCAAGAATTCCATCTAGTTGTTAATCAAGCAAGAAACTGAATGAATTGATTGATTTTGCTCCTTTATGCTAATTCCTAGTATTTTGGAGTAATTCAGGAAGTCTTTTAGACAGGGGACCTTTATTAGAGAGGGACGTTTAATAAAATTTCAGTTAACAACGTAGAGGGGGCGTTTATTAGATAAGAGGCGTTTATGTGGAAGTGGGTGTTTATTAGGTCATTTAAGGTAACGTAGAAAACAAGCCAAAGTTAAAGTTGATTCTTTGCTATTCTCATTGTTCGCATGCACAGCACGCTTCTTCAACCATTATTTCCCTCATGATTGGTTCTAATAATCATTGTTTTGCCTTTTAGGTGCATCAATAAAGAAACAAAATGTTCATCGGTTTCGCCATCTTTTTCTCGATACTGATATTTATCAACCTGGTTGGCAATACACTGGTGATATTAGCTGTTGTCCTAAACAAGCCCATGAGATCTCCAATCAACTTCCTCCTCATCAACTTAGCAACCGCTGACGTGATCGTTGCACTTTTCATTGGCATCCCTTTCGTCATAGGTCCTACCTACACCCACCCCGAGGGTAAACCAGGGGAAATTCTTTGTAAGCTTTTCAGTGGTGGAAACATAGGCTGGGCTGGCGCTTTAGCCTCTGTGTTCTCCCTTGTAGCTATTGCTATTGAGCGTTACTGTGCTGTTTTATATCCACACAGCCAGAGGGGAAAACTCACAAAACCCAAGATTATCATCTTGGTGATCACGTGTTGGTCGCTGTCATTTCTTTGGGCAATTCCCGGCTTTATGGCTGTCACTTACATCAAAGAGTTCAAAAGCTGCGGGCACAGCTGGTCCAAGCCCATCTACGGGCACTTCTATACTGTTGGGTGGTCTGTGGTAGCTGGTGTGATCCCTATTGGCATCATGGGAATCTTGTACTCAAGAATGGTGTATCATCTTTGGATCAAAAAAGATAACATTCGCGAGAATACCCAGAAGGCTTTGAAGCGCCACCGGAAGCGGGTGACCAAGATGGTTGTTTTCGTGACGGTCGTTTACGTATTGTGTTGGGTTCCCGAGCTGCTAATTTACTTTCTTGGTTTCACTGGTACCATTACACTAGTTGGAATACATCACACAGTGGCCTCTGCCCTGATTGTGTTTAATTCTAGCGTGAATCCAGTTATTTACAGTCTCCAAAGCAGTCAGTTTCGAAAACATTTGTCCGAATTGATCTGCTGCAAACGGAATAGGATATCACCGATGAACCACACTACCACGGCAACGTCCAGTACAACCACGAGAAAACAAGAATTAGAGGAAGCGAGTCAGATTCAGAGACAAAAATCACAGGATATGGAAACTGCAACTTAATACACATCCTGAGAACACGAGACCCCCAAAAAAGCGCGCGCTAAAAACCACCAGGGGTAGGCGTTGATCGGTAACAAAGTGGAGATACTTACCTCTGTATTAGAGGTGTTGAAGGAGGCGCAAAGTTGGTTTTGTTTTTGAATACCAAAAGGGTCGATAAAATGAAAATCAAATTTTATACGTGGTCGAACTGTGATATCATCCAACTAAAAAACGTCCGTGTTTCTAAATACTTCGGTTGGATAAACGTTTCAACACTGTTTTGTGCTTACTGCTACAACACCAAGTAAAAAAAAAATATAAAAATAAGGATAAAAATAATAATAATAATAATTCCTTTACTTAACCTTGGCGGTATTTATTCAGTATTATTGCCAGCAAAAACCCAAATGGGGACCAGACGTTTTTTTTAGTTTGTGGGACGGTTGGGCAATGTTGAAACATTAAGCCAGGTACAGTCAAAGCTCTCGTAAGTGCCCACCTCAGAAATTTGAAAAAGAGGTCATAACTAGAGCTGGTCACTTATGAGAATGAGCTCTCTTAAGTGAAGCATGTTAAAACGATAGAGGGTGGTCGCTTATGAGAACATCACAGACTCATTAATAACTAAATATAACCAAAAGAAATCAATGTTTAAAATAAGGAGTGTCTTTACATTGGATATAGACATGGCTAAACTTAACGTCCTCCAGTGTACATGTACAAGATCTGTATTAGTGAACCATTAACCAACCAGGGTGCAGTTTTATTAAGGAATTGATTTATATGAATAAGACTCTGAGTGGTCGCTTAAGATAGCTTAAAAACAAAGGAAAAGTCCAGAACTTGGGTTATCCAAAAGTGGTCGCGGTCACTTACGGAAGCGGTCGCTTGCGAGANCAGTACAACCACGAGAAAACAAGAATTAGAGGAAGCGAGTCAGATTCAGAGACAAAAATCACAGGATATGGAAACTGCAACTTAATACACATCCTGAGAACACGAGACCCCCAAAAAAGCGCGCGCTAAAAACCACCAGGGGTAGGCGTTGATCGGTAACAAAGTGGAGATACTTACCTCTGTATTAGAGGTGTTGAAGGAGGCGCAAAGTTGGTTTTGTTTTTGAATACCAAAAGGGTCGATAAAATGAAAATCAAATTTTATACGTGGTCGAACTGTGATATCATCCAACTAAAAAACGTCCGTGTTTCTAAATATTTCGGTTGGATAAACGTTTCAACACTGTTTTGTGCTTACTGCTACAACACCAAGTAAAAAAAATAAATAAAAATAAGGATAAAAATAATAATAATAATAATTCCTTTACTTAACCTTGGCGGTATTTATTCAGTATTATTGCCAGCAAAAACCCAAATGGGGACCAGACGTTTTTTTTAGTTTGTGGGACGGTTGGGCAATGTTGAAACATTAAGCCAGGTACAGTCAAAGCTCTCGTAAGTGCCCACCTCAGAAATTTGAAAAAGAGGTCATAACTAGAGCTGGTCACTTATGAGAATGAGCTCTCTTAAGTGAAGCATGTTAAAACGATAGAGGGTGGTCGCTTATGAGAACATCACAGACTCATTAATAACTAAATATAACCAAAAGAAATCAATGTTTAAAATAAGGAGTGTCTTTACATTGGATATAGACATGGCTAAACTTAACGTCCTCCAGTGTACATGTACAAGATCTGTATTAGTGAACCATTAACCAACCAGGGTGCAGTTTTATTAAGGAATTGATTTATATGAATAAGACTCTGAGTGGTCGCTTAAGATAGCTTAAAAACAAAGGAAAAGTCCAGAACTTGGGTTATCCAAAAGTGGTCGCGGTCACTTACGGAAGCGGTCGCTTGCGAGAACATTTCATTACAAGTTTAAGTCACAGTTCAGACAGGGTTTCACAAAGTTGGTCGTAACTAGAGCTGGTCGCTTACAAGAGTGGTCGCAAGGAGAGCTTCAGCTGTATTAATTAAAAGAAATTTAACCAAATATCCAGTGTAACTGCATTCACTGGCTGTCACATTTGTATAGATCATTGGACATAATCTCAACTTATTAAAAATGAATTTATGGTTATTCCTTGGAAATATTTCTACATTAAAAGGATTAAAACCACATTGTGATAAAAATTGACATTTGCTACCTCTATGTTTATTGGTTGTGGTCAGTATACATTGAATGCAAAACTCATGTAAGAATACAAGTTGTAATAGTTTGACAGTAATTCTGATATGATTAATAACATTATTTAGACCTCAATGAGAAAAGGCATAGAAACTGATAAACTGTTTAAAATGTTTAAAATAACAAGTAATAGAATAACTTGCTCTTAGTATTCTATGAATTTATGACTGGAATACACACAAAGTCACAAGAGGCATATTGATGTAAAAAATTATACTTACAACACTAACAGCTTAAACTACATGCAAAGAATAATGCACGAAGTAATATTAGTTATTTTAGCTTTATTACAGATAGTACAGTAATTAATTTTTTCTTACATGGAACCAGTTTAACCTAATAAAATTATTATCTCACCAGACAGCAATAAAAATGTTGTCATCTTCTCACAAAGACCAATGATATAAACAAATAATTGTCCACCTATTTTTCTTTGTTGTCTGAAAAGTCTATTATGGCAGTTTAATAACTACCAGGGTAAGCATAGTTCCTTGAAGGCATTCCTAGCTTATACTGAAGTTTGGAATGCTTCTGTCTTACCTTGAGCAATCCTTGCCTGATTCTCCAAACACATAGTGTGCATTACCAGGATAGAAGTTTGTCTCTAGTCTCATTAGATCAAACTAAGGCCACGCCAATGTCTTAAGTCTCCAAAAGTTGTTTATCAACATATCCTAGGTCAATTTCTCTTTTTGCCACTTAAAATTTGTTCCTTTCTGTATAAAGGGAAGCACTTCTAAAGTGTTCTCTGAAATTTATAAACTAGTCTTGCTTCAAAAGGTTTGTGTGAACATTGATGCCATTACTTCATCATAACACTGCAGCCTCAATTTTACTTATCACTGCCTTTCAGTGGTCCTTTTTCTCTGTTGCAGTTGTCTTAGAAGCTTGCCATAATTCACTTACAAACCTGTAAAGAACAAAATACAGAAATATAGCCATCATATGTACCACTAGACCTTATTTATAATTTAATAAATCTATGAACAACTTAAAATAATTTGCATTTTACAGCAGTACCTTACCATAGTGAGAAAAGAAAATGATAAGATAAATGTCACAAAAAAACAAACACTTTTGCTCTTTTAAGTTCCCTTTAAATGTTCTAATTTATTTCCATACTATGTGTATACTGTCCAGGGATGGTTTTCAATTTCATAAGTGAAGTAGCTTTTCTGGGCACAGACTAGCCCAAAAGAGATGGGCAGGCTCAGGAATTTAAGGTCATAGATGCAAAGTGCCCTCCCTACAATTTTCAGAACCCATGACACAGAAAGTATTGGTGATCACCACCAGAGATTGTTACATCCTTAGCGGTTCTTTTCCATCCCACATGAGTCAGATAAGTGCCGTGACGTGAAATGGGGCCTGCAGTTTGAGTCTGTGGACTAAATCCTATCATATTCACCTTGAAAGGTAATACCCATTTGACATAAGTTTTAAAATGCACCACTTGTTTTCCAGGGTTAACTTTACGAATCTTAGTCTCATATTTTCTCCTGATTGTTTTGAGGGAAGGAGGCAGATGTACACATGAATGAGCAGTTTTCCAAACACGTCATGGTGTACGATTTTTCTTTCTCTTTGGGTGTGTTCCTTTCGGCGAATCCAAAAACAGATTTTTGACTTAGATTTGCCAGATTTCGCGGTCGAAAGGAACGTGAAATCCGAAATTGGATTTGTAACCTTGGTAACCTTTCGCCAACGCGTGCAATATGCATGACAGCCTCTCAAAAAATGACGTGTTTTCTACTGTTTGACAAATTATGAGATTATACCGTGCAGAATTTAGTGGTCGGCAGTTCGAATAGCAACGATGGAACATATAAAACAGACAAAGAAAGAAGCCCATTAAAATTGAAAATTATCTAAAGAATGTCAGCCAGTTTGATCCAGTTCCAAACCTCGGATTTTTTTATGTGACACGATCGAGTGCCTGTTGCGTCTACAAGCGAGTTTGTAGTTAGATAGCAGTTCATTTGTTACTTTTACTTATTTCTGATTTCAAGCAATCTTTAGAGACAAATGGTTAGTATATGGATACTTTAATGTACCAGGGACAATCTTCTAATGTTTTCAGATGTTTTGCGGCAAATTAAATGACAGCAACGAGGAAACTCTAAGGCCTCTATGGGAATACTGCAACTGGAAATACCGCTGGATCATCTGACTAATTTCGGATCCATAGTGAATGGAACAGCATAGATCACTAATCCGTTAATCTGGATTTGGATTCTTCGGATTTCAAATCCAATGAATCCTTTTTCAAAAAGGATTCACCAGATCAAAAATCCGGATTTGGATTTCCCGAAAGGAACACGAAATCCGTTCGTAGATCTAAAATCCGTTTTTGGATTCACCGAAAGGAACACACTCCATAGCTTTTGCAATATTTTCACCTTCAAAACATAAGAGTTATGAATCTTATGAGATCTTAAATTAAATCCATTACGTTGTTTGTACAAATATCAAATAAGTTCATAGACAGCTAATAAAGGAGCTTAGTATATATCCGTTTATAGCTTAACTCACCAATTTATTGAAAGGAGAAGACCGCTACTGATTATTATCAGCATCAGCAGATGAATGTTAAAACCAAACGTAACCAACAGAAGTGTAAGGATGACAAGAAGACAGACGAATGCGATGTTGATTGCTGTAAGAAGTTGGCTGTTGACGCCAGGCTGAAGAATAGACTCTACAATCGCTTCAAACATTGATCCTATGAAATCCCCTGTGCACTACAAACTAGTATGGCCTGCTCGGAGGGAAATATTGGCCAGGCGTTCCACGCGCCCAAACTCCATTTGAGTTAGTACCCAATCCTTTTAACGCGTTAGCTAACGTGCCCTCCCTTATCACGCATCACGCAGGCCACATCTCTTTAACCTGCAGTGCACGCGTATACCGTATTTCCTCGAATAATAGCCGGGGGCGATTATTTCTTTTTTCGCTTGAAAAGGGGCGATTACTCGAGGGAGGCGATTATTTCAAATACTGCTGACTGAAAAATTTTGTTCTATTTATATCCCATTAAATTAAAAAAAATAATCACGTCAAATAAACTGAACATGGGCTTTTTAAGTGCTCCAAATTTTAGTTCATTGATTAATTTTCAGAGCTTGAAGTGTCACTGATCAGTTTTGCTGAATCTCATTGCACTGCAACTTGACAAGGAGGGGATAAAAGGAAGAGAAGATGACGAGAGGGGCGGGGGAGGGGCGGTTATTCGAGGGCGGCGATTATGTTAAGTATTTTTGGCAAAGGGGGGCAATTATTTGAGGGAGGCAATTATTCGAGAGATGGCAATTATGTGAAGAAATACACTATTTCAGGCGAGCTCTAATTATTTCCTGTAGTTGCCACCTTTGATTTTCAAAACAGAGGATGAAGACGAGGCTTGGGGGAAGAAGAAAGTGTAATCAGTTGGATGGATAGAGCTGGGGAGGGGGAAGGGGGAAAGAAAATAAGTATTCTCCCTTGTCCTTTTCCGTGTGCCTCGTGCACCACAACCATGAGCAATTCTAATGGCTCAACCTTACCCCTTAAAACAGTGCCTGTACCACTATTTCATGGCGGAACATCACAGAGACTTATAAACCATCCTTTGACCTCTAATCCTTCTTTGCCTGTCTTGCTTTGAAAATGGCTTGTTTCTCTATACGTTTGAGCAGAAAAGGCTGAGATTCCCAATTTTTATAATAACATTATATATAGCAAACAGACCTTCTTAGCTGGCCTAATAGAGACCATGTGATGTTCTCCAGGGAATTTGCCTTTTGTCTTGCATAAATTATGCAAACACAATTATGCATATGGATGCACACGCATAGGACAACATTTGAAAGAAAAAGGTCTCTGGGGTACCATCAGGGGGTCAGAAATGGCAAAACAAAACATACAAGCTAAAAAGGCCTATATTACTTTGTATGATCACAAGCTGCCCAAGCTCAAGTTATAGAAGTAAAGGATGTAATCAAAGTCTCTCCAAAGGCCCATTCGAGAGACTATGATGTAATCCTAAAAAATCCACTAAAGTGATGAAAACACATTGAAGCACAAAAAAGTACATCAAAGATAAGTCTTCTCTATTCATTTAATTGAAGAAAGTTTAAATTTATTTTTATTAAGAGTTCACAACCTCAGTCTTTTATTCCTAATATGACTCATACAAAATCATGAAAATATCTCAGTTATATGAGTCACAGCTTTACACCCTTCTATTAATTTTGAATTATGTAACCCAACACAATTATTAGCCTTTGCAAACTGCAGGTTGCCAAGGTTTTTAAACCTGTTTATTTGAATGATTTAACATAAAGTTTGACATTGGGGAAACTGTGTGAATATCTACAAGCCAGGTACTAACTTCTAACATTGCTCTATTGTGTCAATAACTGTGAAGTGGTGTCTGGAAACCAACTTTCTCACTGACTGAAACATCAACAGTTAAATTTACAGGCTGCCTAAGAAGATTTTGTAAATCTGCTGATACAAGGCCTCTCAAACGGTCAATTTGTTCTAAAACACATCGACGCTGACTTTTCTTGCGACAATAGAGCTTGTGGTGAATTCTCCAGTGGCCATCTCTTTGTTGACACATCACATTCACCTATCCAATGAGATTTTGTACTTTAAATTAGCAAAACTGGTTATTTACAGGGGTATTCTGGGGTGCAAAGAAAGTCATTTTTACAGCTTGCCATTTGGGCAAGCTGAAGCTAGCTTTCACCAGCCCAAACATCATTTCAACTAGCCCCCAAAATTTTTTCATGAACAGAGTTGGTTTCACAGTTCTTCTGTAAGTTTAATTCCTCAAAATACTTTCCTTACCTGTCGGGCAAGTTAAGAACAGATTCACTAGCCCAATAGCAAAATCCACTAGCCCCGGGCTATCAGACAATACTTTCTTTGCATGCTGTATTCTATGGGCAACATTCCATTGATAACAGCTAGTTTTAGTTTTTGCTACACTGTACTTACTGGTGTTGTGTGTAAGTAAATAAAAGCAAAGTGACTTATTTCATCAAGCAAATTGTCTACGAACATACTGCTCTTGTAATTGTAATTGCAATTTGTTTACCAAAGAAGTACTCAGCAGTTCTTAAGAACTCGTTGAAAGGTGTCCGTGCGTTCCAGATCAAATTGGAATTTGGAAATGTTGGTTTTTAAAGACAGGGGAAAACCCGCGTACCTGGAGAAAAACCCCTCAGAACAAACGAGAGCACCAACAACAAACTCAACCCACATATGGCTTCAACACCGGGATTTGAACCTGGGCCACACTGGTGGGAGGTGAGTTCTCTCACCACTGCGCCACCCTTGCTACCCCTCTCAATTGGAAGATTTCATGCATTTGAAATATTCTTCCCCTTTTTGGGAAATGTTCTGAATACATGTATGGGCAACCCATTTTGGATCAGCAAGGCTTTCACTAATGAACAGGGCCTGGGGATTTCCCCCAGCTTCGATGAGCATTACCCCTGGCTACTTTTACAAGAAACAAGAGGAAAACAGAACCAAAAGAATTTCCAGTATCAGCCATGATAAGTTATTAGCTGACAACAGGCCTTTGCTTTTTACAATGGATGTTTGTCCAACCAGGTAACTGTTTAACCAGAAAAGCTATCAGACATGCATTGTGTTGATTTCATCTCTTTAATCACTATGTAAATCGTCAGTTACAAAATGTCTGTCTTTGATATTTGATCTGTTTGATCATTATGGTTAACTTTGTATAGGACATAGGCAGATTTTAATTGGACATTGTCCAATAACTGACTGTTATTTGCAGCTCTGTGATAATGTATGGGTGAACTAAACACATAAGAAACCTGTAAAAATGATAAGCCCTCTTGCAAAGTTCAAAATACGCAAAATGCTTTGAAGAAAACCACACTGGTAACCTTCATGCTTCCAGTGTGATTTTCTATCAACTAGCCCTAATCCCAGTCAAACCCTTGCCTTTTATTTTTAAAAGGATGGAGTTTAATACTCACCTGTTTAATTTGCCAGGGTATTTCATGCTCATACAGTTCTAACAACTTCTCTCTAAAAATCTCCTGCATTTGTTCTTCAAATGGCTGATCTGTGCTAGTGTCAGGAGGAAACAGCCATTCACTTTGTCTGCTTTTCGCAGCAAAGTACTGTTTAATGTCCTCGATCCCGTCTCCAGTCGCTGCAGAAATCATAAATACATGTTTAAATTTACTCCAACCTCCTATATTTTGATAATTTCCCCACTCGTCCTTTTCGCGGTCTTTCAATAGCGCATCAGCTATATTGAGTAGAATCATCTTGTATTTAATTTTATCTATTTTGTTTAAGATAAGAATTGATGGTATGTCTTTGTGACTTTCCAAAGCTGTTAAAATTGATTCATGAATTTTCATACTCCTATGCTTATCAGCAGCATCGGTAATCACAGCAATGAGATCTGCTTCATCAAGAGCCTCCCTGGGAGCTAGTATATGCTGGCGGGTCATTTTCAGTCTTCGTGCCTCAGTGTGTGTCACTATCCCAGGAGTATCTAGAAGTACGATCTGGGAATCCCCCACCATAAACACCCCTAGTGTCTGTTTGCGAGTGGTATGAGGTATCGGTGTAACAGCACAAATCTTCTGCCCTGTAAGACAGTTTGTCAGAGTTGATTTTCCACTGTTTGCTTCTCCTATGATCGCCACCCTTAGCAGCTTTGTAACGGCCGACTCTTGATTCTTTGAATGATTTGTTAGTTCTGAAGTTTCTCCATACCGAGATTCGCCAGACATTTCGCTTGTAAAATTACTCCAGCACCGAATAATGCTGTTACCAAGGTACTTAGGTATACAGAAAATCCGATTTGTACAACTCGGTTGAGACATATCCTTAAACATTCTACTATTGAGTATCAAAACCGTACTTCGGCCGCACAAACGCAGACACGTGAAGGCCGCCATGTTGTTTGATCGAGCTAGTACCCAGGTCTTTTGCAACTGAAGACTGAAGCTCTTCATGTAAGGTACCTTCAGCTGTTCACGTCGTTTGGGAGAGTTTTGCTCCGAAGTTTTTGTCCAAACCTGCGGAAAGGTTTCAATATTTTCTATTCAGTGCTGAGAAGACAAACAAAGTTATCTCAGAAATGTTTGTCTTAATTAGGCTGATTCGAGAGGCGAGCATTTTAAGCTGATTTTGTAGTATTTTGGTCATCGGACTTCGAACGAAGATGTATGATAATCATTGTTTTGATCTTCCACAAAAATGAGTATGAACAGAATAGCTATCAGAACAAACAAAGGAGATTATCTTGGAGGCGAGAAAGTCTACGGGTAGGAAAAATATGTTAATTCTTATACTGACTAGTTCATAAGTACATGTAACAGGATCGTGGATTACATTTTCGATTTTATGCACGCGCGTGCATGCTCAAACGTTCATTTTCATTTCGTGTTCATGTTTGGTCAACATGCTTTCCAGCGACAAAATGTCGTTTTAATGCCAATACGGTTTCGACACTGAATTTAACGTACGGACCTTTTTTTCCTTTAACTGGTAATATGGGCTTAATTGATTCAGGTGTTAATTTTTGATGATATAAATCTACAAAACAAAAAATTAATGAATTTTTAAAGTAGTGAAAAATTCATTAACGTTGGTTTAAGCTATAGCTCTTTCCTTGATGGGTTGAGGCTTGGGTGGAAAATTTCATGCAAATCACCACATTAATTATTTATGTCTCTTGGTTCCTCGAGGAATAATGCAGGAAAGGTTGAAACAATTGGGTAGAATTTCCCATCACCAGAGAAACAAAGCTGCCTTACATGAGCCATTAAATTAGGAAGAAAGGAGCCAAAAAAATAGTACATTAAATTGAATGTTTACAATATTCATTATTGGTATTAAAAAGCAAAATTGAACAAACCAAATCATTCGAAGGGTCACTTAACTTCAGTTGAAAGTTGCTCTAAATCAAGGGCCTACTGTCTGGTTTGGTCTCCTTGCCTCAGCAGTGAAAGAGCTCTCAAATTATCTTCGTAGGACAGGGCTATCATTAAGAGCTGGGGGCAGGGGATTACTACGTGACTATTACGAATGTGGCCCCAGGCTACTTTCATAGGAAAATATAAGAAAGATAGAACCAAAAGAAATCCCTAGCTGTTTAATTCTCCACCTTCTTGTTGTATTTACTTGGCAACTTGAAATCTTAATGACAACCCTGGGTAACATTGTACTAAAAACACTGCATTCACTCTTTTCACCAAGACCATAATGCACCATTATGGTCTTGGTGAAAAGTGTGAATATTGCAGCCTGTTTATAAGGGAGAGTCTCGAACCTTCACACCTTCTTTGGGTCCGAAAATGAGGGGAGATCTGGGCTCCTCCTCTAGATCCACCATTTTAAGGAGTCTTGGTTGGGGGCAGTTTTCTCAGCACCATACTTTCAACTTAGTCTTGTATCTTTAGATGTCACTTCTAAACTCACTCAATTACAATTACTATTACATTTTGTCAGTGGTCTGTACTTTTGTCTGTAGTGGCAAGTCTTTTACTTACCTCTGTCATTTTTTATCATTTTATTATTAATTTTACAGAACCGTCTACCTATGGATTTGTGGTACTGATCCATGCAGAGGAGTAAAACTCAAATTTAGAGGATATGAAAAATGTGAGCAATAAAAGTTTGTTTCTCTCATACTCACAAATTCACTGCACCTATGGGCTGAAAATGTCAACAGGATACTGTACTGTACATTATGGACCACTCTCACACCTGTACAAGATGGTCAGCTTGGTAAAATGGACACCTAGAGTTGGTCCCTGCCTTTCTTTACTGTCTGTATTTGACTCTCTATAAGATCAACACCTCTGTAAAATGGACACCTAGAGTTGGTCCCTGCCTTTCTTTACTCCCTTTATTTGACTCTCTATAAGACAAACACCTCTGTAAAATGCACATCTAGAGTTGGTCCCTACCTTTCTTTACTTCCTTTACTTGACTCTCTACACGATGGACATCATTCTTAGATGGACCCAAAGTGCAGATCCCATAGGTGTCTTCTACTTTAGGGAGAGTTGACTGTATACAATACTAAGATCACTGACGACTCACCACTCAGTGACACATTTTGCAAGGGTTTCACAGCAATTTTTCAACTAAATTTTGAAATAGAGTGATTTCAAGTATTAATCTTAGTGCACATAATTAATTTATACCTGGATATCTTGTGCACCGAGCCGAAGGTGAGATCTGGTAAAATCTCAATTGTACGCATGATCATCTGTAGGGAGTATAATGTGTGACAGGGAATGTAAGGGTGTACTCATGAAATTATTCCAATGTGGAAGCAGTGCCAGTTGGAGAATTTTAGAGAGCTGTAGAAATTTTCTTTAATAAAACTTGGAGTGCTAAAAGACTTCACTGGGTCAAGGTGAAAGAGTAGCCTGTTTATGATTTGGATTGAGAAAATTCCAAAACTTAGTAATAAATACACTTGACAGTGTGGCTTACCTTTTTTAGGTGAATGGGAATACAGAGAAGTTCATCAGGATGAGGCAACTCAATTGCCAGTTGAACAAATTGGAACAAAGAATTGCAGGAAGGACATGTTCAGAGCTGAGCTGAGACTCATAGAATATCCAGGTAATTATCTAATAGCGATGTGCATTAAAAAGCACTAACTTGCAGTACATGTGATTTGTATTGAACATTCAGTGTTCATATTTTTGGTGTAAATATTCAAACAGTAAAAAGTGGAAAAGAAACTATATAAGTTACAAGGAAAGTTAAGAAAATGAAATTTCAATGGGTCAATGATAACAGTTTTAAGAAAATGCCCATATTTTTAAAAGAAGGCAACAACAAATGAAGGAGGTACCAGTGGAAGTGAAGGACCCTCGGAAGCATAGTGAAAACATATGAGTTTGTTATTGTTTCGCAAACATCCTACAAGGAAAGTACCTTTTAAACTTTGTTTTAAGGAGGACTGTTTGCATTCCAGGTATTTCCCATGAAATTTTTTTTCTAAGGAGGCAGCATGGCAAAGTGGTCAGCACGTCAAACTCTCACAATCTGGCAGTCCCAGGTTCGAGTTTTATTCTAGCCACTTGCTGGATTTGTTCTCAGTCTTCCCGAGTTCAAATCCTCGGCCACGCTTGTAAATAGCCAACTGGTTACCAACAGCTGCCAATTGGGGTTTTTAATCCTGTTATGTTGTATTTGAATTATTTATTTCTAAGTATTTGAGTGGAGTGCCTGCATTAGCTGAATAAGCTAAGTGCACCTTTCACTATAAAGAAGCCCTTAACCTTAATCCTTTATCTGATATTAATAACCAAGCATTTTTTTTGTAGATGGAATACCTATGGGATGTTATGCTTATCCATTCCATTATACCCTTCAGCAAGGTCTACCAGGTTAGATAATTTTGGAATGTTCTGTTGGCCTTCTTTAATATCTTTCTAGTTGTGAACTTTTTATTCAATTTCTTTGATAACCAGCTTCGTTTGAAGCCAATGGAAACCAGGCAAATGGAGACAAGTGGAAAGCAGAAATCACCTACAAAGTTATAGCTGAAGTTGACAGACCTGGATCTGACGAAGCTCTGAAGGTGAGGTATAATTTATTATTAATCTGTCTTCTTACCACAGAAATTTGGTTTTATTGTCTACCATGAAAAGATTCAAGAGCTAATGTTTAGCGTGGTACATACCCCTTTGTCAAAGCAAGTCAAGGGTTTGTGGGTTCTATGTGTTTTACATTAATGAGTGGCCAATACAGCTACTCCAGTGATTATGTTACCTCTACGTCCTGCCTCCCTAATGCATAAAAATCCCCAGACGCAAAAATTCATGGCAATGCGTCCCATAGGATGCAAAGATCGATCATTTCATCTGAGGATGTTGTAATTTGTAGAATATTCTGTTTGTGTGATTTCTGTGGCTGTCCTGGCTGTTGTTTAAAACAATGCATTTTCTTTTAGTCTTTGTTGTACTTTCAATCTATAGACGGAATATAACATTATTTTTATTTCTGTCAGTAACTTGTTTAATACAGAGTTTTTGAGTCTGTCTTCAGACTAACTGTCTGGTTACATAAAGGCCCAAGCATTTTCAATAAAGGACTTGTAGTTTTTTGAACTGAAACTCATTGGTTCTGCAATGAGACTCATGATTTTTCTTAAGATGAGACCCAGGACTCAACATAACTATTTGCAACAAAATCGCTACCTACTGTATTGGTGTTAAGCATGCATTGTAAAATGGAAAACAAGATAAAATTAGCTGAATGAAGAGTTTTCATTGATTCAGTGCACCCCCAAACTTAGAGTGTTGTATTTTGGCATCAGGAGCAAAAACTAGAGTTAACCCTTGTGACTTCTTACCAATATTTTGGGAAGTTTTGTTTTCATCCTTTTGGGCAAATAGTGACCTGGAAATAGCCTAAAAAATTGGCAAAATCTCCAGTGGTATATTAGGGCAATGAGATGCTGGTCATTGCCATTGTCTAGAGAATACAACATTGAGTGATCAGTATCCGGTGACTGGAAAAACATTTTTTGGTTATAAGTGGATGCTCTGAAACTCTGTATTTAAGCTTGAACAATTCAAAAACAAACTCCATTTGCAAGAATTATAATATTGTTCCAATTTTAAATGAGAGTTTAATATTCTTAGTACACAGGGACACATTTATGACTGAATATCTTATTATTTTGTGTTATGTTGAGGCTTCACAAGTAATCACAGTGAATGAAAACCTTCCCCTTTCACCTGTTGAGCCTGAGACTGTGACAGAACGAAGAACTGTTAAAATGTGTTGCTGCATTCCAAAAGGAGATGTTTTGCTTAATTCCTGGTATGTCTTTGGTTCCTTGTCTGCTGCAAAATTATAATTATATATAAGCATCTCATGCCCATTTAATGGATTTTTGGATACCTTGTCANTGAATGAAAACCTTCCCCTTTCACCTGTTGAGCCTGAGACTGTGACAGAACGAAGAACTGTTAAAATGTGT